GAATACGCTGAGTAGGTGGTGATAGTGGATAAGCAATTACCCCCCGAATGGGACATGCCTGACCTTGTTCGGGTAGTGATAGGTGTGACAACTGTCAATTCAGGTCATTTTCGGACTCATGCATCTTTATAAAAACCATTCATGCACAACATGCCATGGCCTAGTAGTATAAATTAGGTCAAAATCTTGCGTAAACTAGGATCCAACTAAGGTCTAGGACTAATATACTTGATACTTACAATTCTAGTAAGTTGCTTAGCTACAATAGGAAACGCCAATACTATAGTTAGAATAAAGCTTCAAGCTTTGTTATAATTGAAATAGGGTATAAAACCCTAAAAATAAATTAAAACATTCTAATTATACTTCAACATGTTGATGAACATCAAACAATATTCCAAAAACCCTAAAGAGCCAAAAATCCAAACTTATAAATTATAAAGCTTAAAAACTTTATAAAATTTGGCTATAAACTTCCTAATATCAATTTTTTATTAATCAAATTATGAATTATAATCAATGAAATAGAAATTAAATTATCAAGTATTAATCATAATTTATTTGTTGAAAACAAGATTTTAAATAAATCCAAATTTGCTTAACAAGCACTTTTATAAAAATTAATGTATTTATATAAATAATGGAGTTAAATTTTATAAAATTTGAATTAGGAGAGAGGAGGCCTAACACACTCAAGAACCGGCCATCTCCTCTCCCCATGCACTCTCTCTTCCCCAAAACTCAATGATTAAACTCATTCCCTCACTCTACCTCTTCTTTCTTCACTCTCTCACACTTCACTCTCTTCACACACTTCACTCTCTTCCTCTCTCTCTCTCTCTCTAACTCACGAAATCCTCTCATTCCTCTGCAAAATTTCGAGATTTTGAAGACTTTGAAGTGTTCTTACTTCTCTCAAGGTCAAAACCAAGGTAAACAACAACATCTTCTCCCATAGTTTCATTGTTAAACTTCTTCTTCTTCATAGTTTTCTCTACTTTTCGGATTCTATGCATTTCCATGGCTAGAAATCTTTATTCTTCTCTTGTGGTTTGTATATTCTCACCATAACACAATGCATGTGTTTGAGATGGTGAAAATCCGGGATCAAACCCATGCAAGGAGTGAAAAGATGCACATATGATCATGTAACATCAAAACCAAATGTTTCATCTTCTTCTCCATTTCTTTTGTGTTCTTGCATGACCAAAAGCATTTAGACCATTTCTAGTACATCTTGGATGCTCATTCACTCCATACATGTGTTAGAAATCGGATCTTACCAAAGGCATGCATGATGTTCTTGTCAAAATACCCTAATAATGCACAAAAACAAACATGCAATCTGCTAGATTACTTTGTTCGACTTTGAACGGCCATAACTCAGTCATTTCTAAACCAAATCATGATATTATTTTTGTATTGGATAGTTCCACGAGTTAAATTTCAAACCCAACTGGTCTCACTGTAAAATATTAAATATCCGATTTTTGGAAATTTTTACAAAATGGTTGCGCATACAGCTCTTTTTCTATGATCACTATTTTTGTCTTGCATGATCAATGGCCTTAAACCCAACCATAAATCTGAGAAAAAATACCTTAGAAACTTAACATATCTAGTGAATGATAGCTGAAATTTTGTGGCTTAAAACCTCACTGAATGGGCTACACAAATTCATGAACTCAGCCACATCTACATTTCATGCATCATTGCATGTAACCCTTCTTAATTTCTTTAGATTCATTACCCTCATTTCTCTTCTGAATACAGTTTTAACATTTTTCCTTTTGAAAGCCCTCACATGCATGAGATAATCTGGAAAATTTCAAGAGCTTTTATTATTCCCTTGATTTATTAAAATTATTCCTAAAACCAACGGCATAAATCACATAAAATACTTCCAGAGGTCAATAAATCCTGAATAAATTCATGGATGATCCTTATAGTGAATAATGACCCCTCACAAAATTTCATCAATTTTTATTACTGTTTAATACGATTTCCGATATTCTTTTGTTTAGGGCATAATAAATCACAAAACCACTTTAATGAATGTGAAAATTGTATCTAACAATTTTCGCATACCTTACCTGTGAATGGTGACTCCAAAAAATAATTTCAAGATTTTTCATCATGTCTAAATATTTTTCCCAATTTTTGGTAATTATAATGGTCTAAAAATGGGAAAAATAGTTCTGATTATCCAAAATTCATGAAAAATTACCAGGATATCATATTGTACAGTAGGAGGTTACATAAAAATTTTGAGGATTTTTCTCTACTGTAAACTATTTTTCTCTTATTTTCTAAAGTTAATTGCACTAAAATACACTTAAATACACATAAATACCCAAAACCAGTTTATACATTATGAAAACCACTTTTGATATTTTTCCCAGGTTATTTATACTGTAAATGATGTTACAAAAATTTATGGTGATTTATTTTTATCTTTTGCAATGAAACCGTTATCGCTGTCATACCTTGCGTTTCCGCTTTAGTGGGGTGTGACAATAGGGAAGGAAGCGCTAGCCACCCCAAGCTATATGAGCGATGCCTATTATGATGTAATGTTACATGGACAAAATAGTTGGTACTGCCAATCAATTTTGAAGTTTATTGATCTAATCAACTATGTCTTCTAGTCTGTTTGGAAGGAGAACTCATTTTCATTTCATCTTGTGACTCATTCTCTTTGATCTTCTCTTTGATTGCTTTTGAAAATGTCTTTTTAACTGAACTACAATGGTTTGATTCTTTTGAAGAAGATATGTAGGCAATTCGGCGTATACCCGGATGCGACCCCATCCACTCCCTCCATCCATGGATAAGGATAAAACAACATCTTTCACTGTTTCGTTGGAAAAACCAATGCTCATATTGACTTTCTTTCGCCCTACTCTAAGGGTGCTTTAAAGATTTTGATATTTTTTTATATCATATAAAGGCTCCAGAACGCTAAAAGGTGAGGGAACCAGAGTTCTCTTTCTAAAAAAGAAAAAAAGAACAACATGATGTAACTAAATGAATAGAAATAAGAAGAGCTGATTATATAGAAATATTGAATCGTAAATTGAGTTCAGGTTCGATTTCCATAGATAATATAGTTGGGATTGTTTATAATGATAGACAAATGAAAGATTTTCTCAAGATTCTTATTCATATACTTTTTATTTTGAAAATGGGTTGGTTGAACTTGAAAATTAACTCATTGAAATTGAATAAGTAAACAATTCAATTGGATTCAGTTGGATGGTACTAACAAAATCGTGTGCTAACTCTCATTTCTTTTGAATTAATCGATCAACTTGACATTGGAGATTTATTTTGAATGCGATCCTGTTGGCAAAAAAATTCGAGATTTTTTACTTTATTGTTATATTATGAATATGAGAATGAATCCTACTACTTTTGGTTCTGGGTTTACCATGCTTGACAAAATGACAATGGGGCGTATCACCCAAATCATTAGTCCGGTACTAGATGTAGCCTTTCCGCGAGGCAAAATGTATAATATTTATAATGCTTTGGTAGTTAAGTGTCGAGATACTGCTGGTCAACTAATTAATGTGACTTGTGAGGTACAACAATTATTAGGAACACAATCTAGTTAGGGCCGTAGCTATGAGTGCTACAGATGGTCTAATGAGAGGGATGGACGTAATTGATACAGGAGCTCCACTAAGTGTTCTGGTCAGTGGAGCATTTCTTTCACATTCTTTATCGTTATTATATAATTAGCAATTCCATTTAGATGCTTGAAAGATCCAAATAGAAAGATAAATAAAGAAGACCCAAAAGCAACCAAAATATTCATTGGTGAATCAGGAGAAAACTTGAACTACGTACATACATACTTTTAGAAAAAGGGAAAGCCAATAGACATATAAAAATTGGTGCTATTGCGGCTACACCTCCCGCTTTGTCATGTATACTACGAAGAATGGCATGGATCATTTCTCCTTCTCTTAGCTGAAGGCTTATCCATGAATCCGGACTTGAAGAACTTGAGAGCATAGGATGCAACCAGCCACAGGCTCTCCCTATGGCTACCTAGTTGCGAACAAAAGACCGGATCTCTATTCTTTCAGCAATTTTCTTTTGATGATAAAAAAGAAAGAAGAGAAATAACTGGGAGTTGGCGCCTACATAACTGCTTGGCCGGGATCACTAACTAAGACTAATCTAATATGAATTAAATAGAAAATACTAATATAATATATAATAGAAAAGAACTATCTTTTTATATACTTTCCTCGGTTCCACTGCTACCTCGGGCTTTACGCAATCGATCGTATTATATAGATATCCCTTAAACAAAACATAACACTCTGCCAGGTTGTTCCTTGTTGACCGGCCTTGTGATTCTCGTTATAGAATGTAGTGCCCAACAGTTTAAAGGAACGGGTGAAGTCTTGAGATCCGCTCTAGTCGAGTAAGAGATTTCCCCTGTAGAGTAGTCTTCGTATCAGTCCATGGGCTAAGGTGCAATTGCCTTCTTAGAGCCAGTTACTTCGTACTTTAAATTGGAGAAAAATAAGTTCCAGAGGCATCTTCCATTCATCTCTATTTTGGTTTTCTGCACCATATTTTGATCTCCCTTTTCTTCAATCCGAAATTCCCAACAAATCCTTGACTCCTCGAATACAATCGGATTTCACACCTGGCGAATCTTTCACTCTACCTCCTTTTATTAAGACTATAGAATGTTCCTGCGAATTATGACCTTCACCCGGAATGTGAGCAAATATATCATGTGATTGCTCAACCGTACTTTGGCTATCTTACATGGAGCTTAATTTGGTTTTTTCGGTGTTATCGTTGGTACACGTGGGCGTACTCCTTGCTTCTGGGGACATTGATCTGAAGCTCGAGTACGATCCATGCACCATTTTTATTCTCTGCCATGACGAATCAATTGATTCAATGTAGGCATCAGTCGCTCTTTCTTTCTTTTGTCCTTCGTCCCGATTTTTCCCTTGTAATGTAACTAGTGTTTACTCCCGATCCGAAGCACCCTTTTTCCATTCGTAGAGAGTTCCAATCATAAAAATCAATAAAAAGGCCATCATGGACCAAGATCCAAAGGGATCAATCTTGTTGGGAGGTACTGCCCAAGGAAAGGAAAAGGTGACTTCCGGATCAGGGATAATAAATAAAGTAGAAACAAGATAAAATCGTATATCAAAACGACTTCTGGCATCACCGAAAGGATCGAAACCACATTCGTAGGCCGACAATTTTTCTGGGTAGGTCGAACTATTGGAAGCAAATGGAAAAGGAACACCGAGTGGGAACCTAAATGAAGTTCTGACCATCTGTCAGAGAAAAAAGAACAAACGGATCTTGTAGGATTCCTAAGAAAAATTTTAATTTCTTCTGGGAGCAGATGATTAATCATCTGCTTCTCACGTTCCATGAATAGTCGGGGCATTGAGGAATATCCAGAAAGGCATTTCGGAAATGGGTTTGATTTTATCTCTGTTCCTTCCCATTCGTGCGTGCAGGCAGGTATGCTATTTAGTCAATCTGGGATGATGAGATAGGGAGAGAGTAGATCTGGTTGCGATCTTCTGAATGTTGAGGAGATCAAAGAATGGATCGCATTCACTTTTAAGTTCCTCCCCAAACTCATTTTACGAGGAATAACCAAGTGCGATAAAGAGCAAGCGAAAACGAACCCTTGCCTTTATCTTAACAGATATTACCTTTAATAATGATCTAATTGCTTGACGAAAGTATAGGAGTCGGAAGTTAACCAACTGACTACCCTTCCTTCTCTTCTGAGATAGGGAAAAGGAACTGAAAGAGGTCTCTCTTGCCCCCTTCAAGTTTACCTACTACGGTACCAGAGTGAATATGATCTCCACCAGACATACGTAAAGCTTTAGCTAGTACACACAAGTAAAGTGTATACCATGATTCTTCTGTCTATCAATAATTGCATGCATTGTGCGGTGGATGTGAATAAGTAGGCCATTATCTCGGCAATAATGAGACAAGCAGATGCAACGTTGACTTTTTTATTTTTTCTCTAATACCTCTCGGGGGCTTTCCCAGCCTGCGGTGGTGGGGCTTTTGGATCCCAGGCATGTGATGATCCACCTTTCCTCTCATGAGGATATGGTTAAGGCCTGGACTAGGGAATCTCATATTATTGACAGCTCCTTGGTTTATGAATCAGTCATCAAGGATCTTAGCCAAACGGTGTCCGGCTACGTAAGCACACCCTTTTTTCCTGCAGTCTTTCCAGCTATGGATCCTACAATTCCCTATGAAGCTCCCTGATAACCCCTTCAATCCATCTTCATCTTGGCTGGCAGCCTAGATTGAGCCCTGGGACTGATCTTCCCGTTGGCTTTACTGCAGCAGTACTCACAGTGAAAGGTCAGCAGGGGGCATAGCGAAATTTTGGGGTCTCTGGAAAGTCTGTTTTATAAAAATTATATGCATTTCGGGCCTCAGTCTAGAAATCTCAACATTAAATGTGTATTCCTGAATAATATGATTTTTCAATTATTCAATCATTTCATTTTACCAAGTTAAATGTTAGCGAGATTAGTCAACATTTTTTATGTTTCAATGCAACAGCAAGATTATTTTTGTAACAAGTAGTTTTGTTGGTTGGATAATTGGTCACATTCTATTGATGAAATCAATTAGATTGTTAGTAGTTTGGATACGCCAAAATCAATCTATTCTTAAGTACATCCAAAGGTCAATTAAAAAATGAAAACTTGGTTTGTAAAACTGCGAAACAAAATTTTAAAATTGGATCAATACTTCCAATTGAATGAGTATGAATAAAGAATCCATGGATGAAGAAAGAAAAGTAGATTTCTAATTTCTAATCTTAACTAAATCTTCAATTTTTGTTTGCATTTGTAGTGAATAAATTAAAGCATAATAGCTATTGAAGAATATCTTTAGTTTACTAAAGACATCGACATATTATTTTAGCTCGGTGGAAATAAAATCCTTTTCCTTAGGACCCTCTCAAATAGAAATAAAGAACGATGTAACTAGAAATATTGTTAGAATTGCCTTCTTCTAGAGGGATCATCTATAAAGCGAGTCGTTACCATGAACCAGAATAGAAGAGCTTGCCCCACCCATGAGTAAATATTTCATAGTAGCCTCATTAGATCGTACATCTTTCTTGGTATATCCAGATAATAGGTAGGAGCATAAACTGAAACATTCTATAGCTACAAAGATAGTTATTAAATCGTTAGCACCACATAAAAACATTCCTCCTATAGTAGATGTTAATACGAATAAGAGAAACTCTATTATAGCCATTTTTGTACATTCAATGTACTCTAAGGATAGAGGAATACATATAGTTGAACATAGTAAAATAAGAAATTGAAAGATTTCATTGAAATTGTTCGTTTGGAAATTTCCCGAAAAGCTAATCATAGGTTCCTCTCTCCATCGGAACAATAGGGATGTTATGCTCATTACTAAACTTGTTGAAGAGATGAAATATAACGAAGGTATATCTTTTTGATCAGAGGTTGAATCGATCATCAGAAGAAGAATTAGGACAAAAAATAGGATACATTCTGGGAAAATCAAACTTCCATCGAAGAGAAGCAAATGAAAGGCTGTCATAAAAATTCTCGTAGAATCGAGAATGAAGTTTTCATTCTGTTTCTTACTCTGAGATCTATTCCAACATTTCCAAAAGAAACTATTAGGGTTGAAAGATGCAACGTACATCAAAGATTATCTCTTCAAATTCGTTAATATGTGGATTCCATTTCCGAATCTTCCGATCTTTCTAAGAGGTTAGGTATGTGGTTGAGTAGAAGCGAAGAAGGAGACTAAGTCATCGGTCGTGCCAGGATTTCTTTCCTACTTCCAGCTGAATGAGGACCACACAGCCATCAACCCTGCTGGAAGTGCTTTCTAGATCCAATCTCATGGTCTTTCGTTCGCTATTCGAATGTCTCGACCAGTAGAAATGTACATTTTACAAATTTGAGAATCCCGATTAATTCTTAATTTTATTTTATTGTATTTTTTATTCTATACATAATAAAAAATACAAACCATAAACGAGACTTCAATTACTCTGTTTAATCTAGAATCGAACCTGGAATCTATAGAATTGTATAACTGAAGATTCGTTTTCTCCGGGATGGGTAGAAAGATAAAGAGTGGGTACGATTTTCAATGCTTTGCTTATGTACAACTGCATAGTAAGAAACATTCTAATTGGATTAGGTAGATAATTTTTCAGTCATTCATTGAATGATAAATCACTACAAGTGACGGAGATACGCAATTTAAATAACAGAAAATACGATATTTGAAAATTGTATCTAAGTATCTGTTAATGGGGTTGAATTTACCAAGTTCTGAGGAGTTGGTGTCTAGTTATGCTTAAGTGTTGCATATATGTTTCCTCGAGCCATATTTTCTAAACGAACCAAGGCCAATCCAAATTGCTCTTGTAAAAGATCTGCTACAGAACGAATACGTTTATTTTGCAAATGATTCATATCGTCAAGTGTACCCATTCCAAATTTGATTCGAATCAAACGATCTGCAGCTGCCAATATATCTCGCGGTAACAAAAATGTATTGTTCTGGGGTATATCAAGGTTCAGTCTCTGATTTATATTTCGTCAACCAATCCCTCCCAATTCACATCTTTGTAGAAAGATTTTTTTTTTTTTTTTGTAAATCCTTAGATAAGGATTCAGAAAATACCGTATCTCCCTCCACACAAGCAAATTGTTGATAAAACTCTAAAATAAAATTTTCTTTTAACCCTATTTGTTTTTTATCATTCAGAAAAGACAAAAATAGTTCAGGATAACAAATATTCTCAAGAATTTCTCTTATATTCAACCACATAGCTCATAATAAAACTAGAATTGGACACCTTTATCCCTTGATTTTTGTTAGCAAAAATATATTTGTAAATAATTAGTTTTGCATACACTTCCAATCATTGTATATTTTTACTATAAATAATATAATTGAATTAAACATCACATATCGAGATGATTATTTTGTTACTTTAGGATGAACATAAGTCATATCGTACTCTTGATTTTTATATCAAACATTTTGAAATTTTGGGAAGATATTAAAATCATCTCTAAAATTAAAGGCATGAGAGGACATAAAACATGTTGAAAAATCCTTAATCCATATAAACCTACAAAAAAAAAAATCAATAAATCTCGATATATCAACAATTTCAAAGTTTTAAGAAGTAAACCATAAAAAATACAACAAATCTATTTCATCTTTGTTATTAAGCTTATATATATATATATATATATATATATATATATATATATATATATATATATATATATATATATATATATATATATATATATATATAAAATGTTTAGATTATTTTGTTTTTACTAACTATTGTGTGTCCGAATGCACAAATATGAAAAAATCTAAAGTTCAAAATAATACGGGAAGAGCAGACTGGGGAGGATCACAAGACGCTAAAAAGAATGATGGTGGAAACATGAAAAACCGAGCTTTATAGATGATTGCAAAAGAAGAAAGAGGCAAGCCCGATGTTGTGCCAAGTACTTATCCTCTAAGCGCACTTCACGATCATGTTTTATTCAACTCGGGTGCAAAGTATTCAATTATCTTGATCAGTTAGTTGTACGGTTAAATCTGCCACTACCCTTCTTACTAACTTAAGGTAATGTAGTTGAGTTAGTTCGTAAAAGTCAAGTTTTAGTTAAAGAACATTATAAAGATTGTCGGTTTTAAAATGACGGTATTGCTTTTCCTTATCAATTTAAAACCGATATCTACCAAAGATTTTGAAGTAATAGTGGGGATGGATTGGTTGTTGACAAATAATGCAAAAATTATTTGTAATAAGATGATCATTATAATTGAGGCTTCGGATAAATCTCAAATAATTGTACAAGGAGAACGACATTTTAAAATTATTATATTAATTTTTCTGACAAAAGTTAAAAATGACGTTCAAAAAGGAGGAATAGTATATGTTTCTTATGGGTCAGAACTAGAGTCGAAAGGTCGAAGTGTAGCTGATGTAGAAATTGTGAATGAATATCTAGATGTGTTTCTAAATGAATTATCAGGACTTCCATCCTATTCAAAGATAGAGTTCATAATTTATGTGGTACCGGGATCGAATCCAATAGCCCGTACACATTATCGGTTAGCCCTAATGGAAATGGAAAAACTAGGGAATCAGTTGCAAGCGCTAATTGATTGTGGTTTTTATTTGATCTAAGTCGTCATCCTGGGGTACGCCCATTTTGTTTTGTAAAGAAAAAGGATCATATGATGTGCA